TATATATATATATATATATATATATATATATATATATATATATATATATATATATGGTTTAATACCTAAATAAGTTTGATAATTAGACATAGTTTATTTAGGTTGCATTTCGAAATGTCCTTTTAGAAAGATATTTTACAGAAAATTTATAGTATATGTAAAATGTAAACATTTTCAGTAAAATCTACGTCCTTAAAAAAGACGTATTCGAATATAACTACGTAATACGTAAGCAATACCTAAGCAATACGTAACGACGTTGATTTTCACGCTATCTGCATCTTGCATATAGAAACTGCTGTCAGATCGGTCACATCAAAGTGTAACAATAATGGCATTATGCGGCAGGTGCTATTCACGAACGATTAATACAAATGCAAAGCCAAACTCGACTAACTAACCGGTCGGTTCAGCAACTTACTTCGCTGGGCGAAAACTCGTTAGGAGATGTCCGTTAGGAAATTGCGACAGGATCAGCCCAGTAATCGCAGGAGCTGTTCAGTCGCTCGATTTGGAAATGAAAGGTAACGATCTGCACGCAATAGACGATGGTTTCGCATTGAGTCACGTGTATGTATCGCGTGCAGGTTCTCGACTTCCATCTGCTGCCATGATAGACATTCTCGATCACGCTTGAGAATCGCACAGGCAGTTGATTCCTAGCCGAACGAACGGAATCTTTATTTATCGTCGGAATTTTTTCCTCGTGTAGATTAATCGCAGACGCGCAAGAGAGATTCCTTCTCTTGGGGCTCTCCGTCTACGCATTGACGATTTCGAAGCAAGCGAGACCAACACGTGCGTGTAATTATTAATGGGAGTAATTAGTGGCCGCTGTATTCTGCACGGGATTATTCCGTTCCATCACGACGGAGAATCACAGCGGAATGTGTTCTACACGTCGGCGGAATTGTCCACTTCCGAAGTGGAAACCGGCCTTAACCGGTTCTATATTGCGTGCTCGATCATATTACGGAATCCGAACGATCCACGTGCGCCGGGATTTCACTTAATCCGCGTCTCGTCGCGATCGACGCGAGTCTTGTCAGGGATTCGCACATCGTCCTCAGACGATTGATCCCGGGTCTCGTAACTTCTGCTGGATATTAACGAAAGTCTGGCCAAGAGAAGGAGGAATCTCATTCTCTTTCGTCGCGCTTTTTGTAGGATATACTGCAGAATATACTGCATAAGGAACTCACAAAGAAACGACTCGGCGAACTAAGTGCGCAAAGTTATCGGTGTTTTAGCGAAACTTCATAAAAGCAGAGCTCTGTGCGGTAATTGTCGGGCGTGTAGCGCGGTGTTGTAAATCTCTCCGTTACACCCGAATCGTGAATCCTTGAATTTCGAAACTTCAGCTTTAGTAACTCGCATGAGTGTCTTGTAACTGCGTAGAACTTTGTAATGATTCTATATGAACCAACGTTTAGGCAACCAAATGCGTTTATATTATCAACTGTATTTTTTACATGCGTGTGCAGAAAGAAAGCAGCTAATGATTGTTACAAGCGGTGTAGGAAATAACGATATTATTATGCGCACGAAAATGCATATGATATTCATATTAGTGTTACTTGTTCTAAATATTTCAGAAATTTATATATCCAAATGCGCAAATCCATCACAAATTTTTTTATCATAAACATTAAATTGATTCAAAATGTGTATCCTGAATCCTAATAAATTTAAAATTAAGTACAAGTATATTAAATTTAAACAAACAGTTGGCTTACTACGCTGAGAGAAAAAATATGTAAGAAATAAAAAGTATTTATTCAGTGACTATTAATAATCATATTTATTCTAACTAATAACATATTTACTCTTATGTTAATATATAAAATATCTTTCAAATAAGAAAATATTTACTTGAAATCTTTTTATGAGAGCTTTTGAAAACTTTTAATGAGAGTAATTATTTGTTAAATAAAAGTTAAATAAAAGAATTTAAGTAAAGTTAAATAAAAGATTTGAGTAAATGTTTAAGTAAATTTTTGAATTGTTTATATTTTATCAGAAATTGGTTTATCTAATAAAAGTTTCTTTTTGCGCGTTACTTAAAAGGAAAGTAAAGTGAGTAAAAGTCGCTTTTTTCAGCAGTAGAATGATATTTTACTGCGCGTAGAAGTTTGTAATTAGTAGTTTAATTAATGCCAGAACATCTAATATCGCAAGTTAGAAATTACCTGAACAGTTCATGAAGAGAAATGGTTTTCAAACCCTGACTTTTGAATCCCGAGAGAGCTTCCGACCAAAGTCGGAGCATTTCCGGGAAATATGCGTATTACATTCCTAAAGCTCTGGATCAGAGAGAGATATATCTAACGTTTCATAATCACGGTGTGAATAGGATCGCCGGGATCGCAATGCACAGAAGAATGCCCGTCGTCGCGTCTCATTTAAAAGTTGAGAGTCCAGCCCGCTTCTCGTTTCCCGGTGTGCTTTACCGTCAGAACTCGAGATATACCCTCTTCACTTGGCAGGATTAAGCTGAAAGCCAGCTACGGCTCAATATTGGATTCGCTGGTGAAAGAAGAATCCCCTGTAACGAAGACTTACCGGAACACCTTGTAGCGTATCATTAGCGTCTGGCTCGCATTTACTCAGGCGCCTTTTTAATTAAGAAACGAAGTCGACTTTCAAGATCGTCGCGCTTAATTCGCCACGGCTACGTGGCCGGCGACTTTGCGGCCGGCACAGCGTGATGTCGATTGTCGCTAATTTCTGACATTCGATTGGAACACACGAGAATCATGTGAGCTGACTGATACGCTTCCGATATTTGTCAGTTGGGCCTCCATTATCCGTCGAAGGTTCAAGTGACTTGATCACAATCAATTCTGTTGTTTGCGAACAATAACAATCGCCGTAAACACGCATATATCTATTGTGTCCCGTGAAATTCGCATATAAAACGACAACTATATTCTTAATAAATCATCTGATATCGACATCGTAATATTCGTGTCATTAGCGCGTTGCCTTCATTAGAGCGCGCAATGTATATGGGTGCTCGACAATGCAAATATCGGAAAAAACAGTATCGTTGGCTCACACAGAAATCTGCTTGTGCCAACTAGATAGTACAATACGGAGTGACTGAGTATGTAGTTGTTGCAATCACAGAGCAATTGCTGAATTATAGGCATTGCAGCAGTGATGATATCTGGTTGATCCAACTAAAGTGTATACGGAGAAAATTTTATAGTAAAAGTTATATATATATATATATATATATATATACAATCTTATAATCGGGAATGGGATGACATATTCACTTAATTCATTATCATTTCTTTCATTTTTATTTTATATTATTTTATACTATTTATATTTTTTTAGCTGAAACGTGCTATTAAAATACTGATTATGTTTTTAATAAAATGTATCTCTTAGCAAGACAGACTTTATCGTCAATCTATTTCTGGACTACTAAAAATATAATAAAATTTGAAGAGAATTTATGTGAAAAAAATCTCTTTTCATGTATACAAAAAAAATCTCTTTTCATGTATAAAAATAAATTTAATTGGATTAACTAAATTTCTAGTGAAATATGAACGAATTAGACATTCCAGAATTTCTGGCTCGTTCATATTTCACCAGAAATTTGGTAAATCTAACCAAAGACTTTTTTTCCGTGTATGGTAAATATTATTCCAATCGATTTCTGGCTGCTACAATCAAATCACGCGCGACCACATTGCTGTATTTAATATACCAAAATAACAGAGTTATATCTACCACATATATTGCCATCACGCAAAGATAACTAGGGCGATGCAACAAAATATTTCCGCTCATAATTAAATATTTCTGTTTACGTGCATCATATCTTTCTTTTCTGTATACAAATATATGCCCTGGATTTATAGAACTATCCATGCAGAACGTCTCCGCTCGTGAAATCCGTTTCAGGGTAACATTGTCGTCATTTCCGACGCTTTAAGCAGACACACCCCCTAGTATATAATCGCTCACTCTAGCTTAGCAGTTTATCCGACATACTCATCTCGGAGGCCTGTCAATACTTTATATCAACGATAAATATATCGATCCTGCGGGGGGTCCTTGAAGACAGGTGAGAGGGCCGTGCGCGCCGCGCCGTGACGCCGCGCGTCGCGTTGGCGAAGCGCGTCACGTGACGGAAATCGGCGTGAAACTCGGAGCCGCGCGGCGTCAGTCAAGCTCAGTCGGCGCGTGGCATTCGTGTGAGGTGCGTCGCTTCGTACGTTCGTTCATTCGTTCGTTCGTTTCATCGTGGCCAGTCGATCGCGCACGGTAACCGGTCGACGAACTTTGACACGAAAGCTCCGCGAGATCGAATCCGTACAAGCCGAAAGCGAGTCAAGAGTTTCGACCGGCCCTCGAACTTCGCGTATCGCGCTTCGAGTCGATCGATCGGAGCGCTCACTTCTCTCGTCTCGCTGGCCAAATAAATCGCGCTCAACTCGGCGATAGTCTTCACATCGCGGGGAACTTTTCGCGCGCGCGCGCGCGCGTGCGCGTGCGCTTCGATCGAGCGCGATCAGCAGCCGCGATTTTCGGCAGTCAATTGAGACGAAAGTGGAAGAAGTTGAGCACAGTCAGCCAAAGTAGAGGAAGACGCTCGTGGTCAGCCGTCCGCAGTACGCGCGTTTGGGGCAATAAACGGCTGCACCTCCGTGACCGCGCGCATTAAGGGCAATAAGGGAACGCGCG